AAAAAAAGATACTTTTCAAATGTTTATTTAGACTTTTGATATATTCTTAGTTTCATTAAATATTTGTGGATATTTTGACCAAATTTTATGAAGATTGATACACGGAATCAATTTCAAGTACCAAAATCGCTAATTCGCAACTCTCGACTCAACCGAGGCTTCAGTTTGGATAAATCGAAAAAAAAAAAAGATACTTTTCAAATGTTTTTTTAGAATTTTGATATTTCCTTAGTTTCATAATGTGTTTGTGGATATTTTGACCAAATTTTATGAAGAATGATACACGGAATCAATTTGAAGTAGCAACCGGCCAAAACGCGCAACTCTCGAACCAACCGAGGCTTCAATTTGGATCAATCGAAAAACAGATACTTTTCAAATTTTTTTAGACTTTTGATATTTCCTTAATTTTATAAAGTGTTTGTGGATATTTTGACCAAATTTTATGAAGATTGATAAATCAATCTTGAATCAATTTGAAGTAGTAACAGGCCAAAGTCGCTAACTCTACTCAACCGAGGTTTCAATTTGTATAAATCGAAATAAAAGATGACTCAGCCAGCTCTTGCGACTCATCGGATCTGGCCAACAGTCGAGAAACCGATAAGGCACAGGAGATGCTGAGTACAGTATTCATGGCAAGTGTCGTCCCTTTATTAAAAGACTCATCTCAGTTGTGGCTGACTTGTTGGATTAATTACGATTTTGTTGTGACTGTGTACATTTAAAGATTTAGAGAAAAGCAAGCGAATGTAGAGATTGTTCGAACCGTCGCCGCTTACATACTCAAGGATTATAATAAATCAATAACTCGCAGGCAATCAGCAACGTCTTTTATTATAAAAACACAGACCGTAAAAATAAATAGAACAAGTTAGACTCATTTTTGTTCACTATCTTTGAACAAATTTATACAATGCTTTTTACAACAAAACTATGTACAAAACGACTAGGTACATAATTAATCTTATCTATATTACGTTATTAGATAGCGGCTGCAATTCACAAACTCAATAAGTTTTTTTTCTCCAAGTCCATAAAATTAATGATATGGTATCATTAAAACATCCTATAATTACAATCTTTACAAATTTGTCTTAGTTTATATTAAAATATTCAGTTAAGACTGAATCTAAAGAATTTCTATTGTTCATTTAATAATAAAAAACTCAGTTCAATATAATCGTCGACTACTGTAAATATAAAACTATTTATTTATATATAATATTTTGCTTATAAATTATATGTAATTTTTTGGCCACCATTAAATTGCAAAGTTTTGTTTTAGAATTTTCATTTTTTGTCTTTTAAAATATTTATTTTTTTCTGTCCGTAAAATAGAGTAAATTGACGATTTTCAGTTCAAATCATCTCTCGTTTTTACTGTTGTCCAGACTATTTTGCGCAGCTGCCATTCTCCTCGCCTTTTCCCTCCTGGTCTTGATCAAAATGCCATGACCAGGGCAATCAGCCTCATCGGTGTAGCACTTGGTCCGGCAACACGTTTTACAGAGGTGCGAATCACATTTCAAACCCTAAAAAAAATATTTATGATAACATAATTTATAAATATTGATACACAATTATTAGATTTTCTTACCATTGGGTTAGGACATTTGGAACAAATTGCGACTTCCCGGCGGCAATACGGATTCAAAGATATACGACCACATCTTTTTATCTTTTTCAACTTCTTTTTTGACAGGCCTGTTTCATTTCCTTCTGGACCTCGTTTGCATCCACTGGTATCGCAGTTCTAAAAAAAAAATTAAACATTCCTATTGATTTTTCTGAACTTTGCCCAGGGTGTTCGAACTTACTTCTTTATCTGGCAGAATAATTTCTGTCTTTTTGCCTTCTATCTTTTTCAAATGTTCCTCTGGTGGTGGACGTACATACGGCTGACACAACCACGGCGGTAAAACGAGATCATAACCTAAAACATTCATAGTCTGCATTTCATTTTTTAACACTAATACATCTTTTTTTAAATAAATTCCTACTTCTTACAAGTAGTTTAAAATAAGGAGCAGAACCAAAAGGTCCAATATTAAGCACACGCACACAAAAAAAGCTTAAAAAAGCTAATTTTGATTTGAACCCATGACTTTTTTTGGCTTGGTCTAACCACTTGAGCTTTCGTGACTTCGATCCACTAAGACATTTCTCACCTCAACCTATGACCTTTTGAATTTCCCCTTTTCTTGCCATATTTTCAAATATTGTGTAATCAGGATTCAATTCTCGGCGATTTATGAAGTGGCCACGGGGAGCTTTTATTGAAGTAAGTACTTCTGTAATTATTATATTTATCCATACATGTATTTAGTAGTCATAATTGACTATATTAATATTTTAATTAATTATATATTTTTTATCTCGTTGGTGTCCGAGTGGATCGAAATCACGATAGCTCAATCGGTTAGAACAGCAACTTATTGAGCTGAAGGTCGTGGGTTTGAATCCTGCTTGTGACACTAGCTTTTTCATCTCAACCAACCAAGACACTAGGTAAAAAGTATAATTAATTAAAATAATTAATACAGTCAATTATGACCATATATGGAGCAAATGAATTGTTCAAAGTTTAAGATTCATCTGTAAAAGTAAGAAAAGCCAATTTTCTCAGAATAATTGATTAGCTAATCTTAATCATTGGTTTAATATTGTTCTGAGACTAAATTGTGCGTGGGAAGAACCAAGCGTAAAACATTTTATTGAAATCTTTTAGTACATTGTGAGGTGGAAGAAAACTGCTTATCACCAACAAACTTTTGTTGTTAATTTTGGGTATTATTTTGGTAATAAACCATGAAAATAGTTCAAAACTAACCGGCTTTAGGATCGCACCAATTTGTATGTCCTTCGTGAAGAGGCAGGAACCGTTCTCTGAGTTTGAGCACAGACCTTCTGAAGTCTTCGACGCACGAGCCTTTCGCTATTTCTTCCCTTATATCTTCATTTCCTGAGAGAGACAATCTACATGGGCAAAAAGACGGAATATTAACTCGTGCGCCAATGAAAATAATACACGTTGACTTACAGGTAATGGAATAATTTGAAGATGTGGCCCCTAACGTAGGAATTAGGACATGGAAATTGTTCAACTAGATCCAAGTATTCTAATGCCGGCTCCCAGGCAGGAGGATAAACGCCTTCGAAAATAAATGGATTGTACAGGTTCCCTTCTGCTGTCATGACTCCTTGGCATCCAGTAGCTTCAATACAGTTTGTAATGTCCACAGAACATTGAATGTTTCCGTTTGCCAGGATAGGTATTTTAACATTTTCCCTTGAATTGAAATGTGTTTAAAAAAATGTTAATTTAAAAGAAACGTTAATAAAAATAGACATTTACCTAACTGCCTTTATATGGTCCCAGCTTGCTAAGCCGGTCAACGGTCCTTTCTGTTCCCTCGTCCTTCCATGCACAGTGAGCATCTTGCAGCCGGCTTTTTCCAACATTTGGGCATAGTTGACAGTCTTTTCTATCGATTCGAAAACTCGGATTTTGCATGTTACCGGCACATTAAGCCCTTTTGACAACAATTGCACTGGAACAGAACTAAAATATAACAGGTACTGAAATGCTTAAAAATACCATTACAAACCTATGTCTGACAGGAGGTTCCAGTCATCTTGTAAAAATGCTCCATAATTACCCCTCTTGGCGATTGCCTGAGGGCAGCCTAGATTGATATCAACAGCATCGCAATAAGGCTCGGCAAGCTTAGCAGCTTGTAACATTACATCTGGTTTATTTCCGCAAAACTAAAATGAAAATATATTATTAATTTATTATAAAAATAACAGCCTTAACATTATTTATGTATCATGGGATATACGGCAATTTAATCTTGAACCTTAGCCAAGATTTTCCAATAAATAGTGATCGTTGAGTCAAGAATCTTTCAGCCTATATTTTTCAGGTCTGGGTTATAAGCAGGGAGAGGCACTGGGGATAGCACACCTAACAAAACTACAGTGAGGATAGGCAGACTAACCGTCAAAAACAGCTAAACAACATTAAAGTAATCACAGCAAACGCCTCAACCTGATCATTTTTGAGATAATTTATTCAACTAGCATTCAGGGATATAAGCAGGGAGAGGTATTGAAGATAACATATATGACAGACGAAAATAGTGAGGATAAGCCTACTAAAAAGACGTGAAATGACTAAACTTCAATCTTAAGGTTATTCATGTTTCAAGGCATGATCCATGTTTTTCCAAATAGAGATCATTTACGATGTTGATTCGGGTTGTGGTCTTCAAACGTACAATGTTTTTATATCAACGCCCAAGCTTTCGACAAGTTTTATTTTTGTAAGGAGATACTGGAGGTCTTACAAATCACTACATTTAATGGATACTTCAAGTAGGAAGATCAAATATATACACAAAAAGGTGTGGCCATGGGAGGGACTCTTTCACCGGTGCTTGCGGACCTTGTAATGAATGAGCTACTGGATTGGATTGGACTTAATTTTGGATTTCACATCAAATTTCTTAAGAAATATGTTGATGATTTGTTCCTGATTATAAAAAAGAGTGAGCTGGTGGACATTTTGAAGGCGTTCAATTCTTTCCATCTGTCACTACAATTTACACAAGAAACTGAGGTAGATGGGAAACTTCCTTTTCTTGACTTAGTTGTCATTAGAGATAATGGTAAAGTAATAACTAACTGGTATTTGAAACCAACCAGCTCAGACAGGATGCTACATTTCTCATCCATCCATTCTTTCCAAATGAAAGTTAATATAGTTTTTAACCTCATTGATAGGGCTCTGAAATTGAGCGATGTCGGTTCCACAGTGAGAACAGGAAAAAAGTGCGCTCTATGTTAATAGATAATGGTTACCCAAGATCATTAATAAATAGATTAATGGAAAACAGGACAAGAGCAACAAGAATATACCTGTCTAGCAAAAACTTTATAAACCAGTTACGTATGTAGCTGGAACATCAAGTAAGTTAAAAAAACTTTTGAAAGAAAAAATAGATAATGTAAAAATTATTTACAAATTTAATAATAAAGAGGGTAAGAATTTTTACACAAAACTTAAAAGTAAAGAACCTCTATTACAAAAATCTAATGTAGTGTATCGCATCAAATGTGCACAATGTCCCACTGGCCAAACGAAACAATATTTATTGAAACGTGTGCGGCAACATAAGTATGATTGCAGTGATGAAGAAAGGCCGGGAACAGCACTATCAAACATACACATACTAAACATAATTTTGACTTCGATGTAGTCAAAATTGTGGCTTCAGAACAAAATACAGGTCGTAGACTTTTGAGAGAAATGATATTTATTCATCAAGATAACATGGCATGTAATTTAAAAACAGATTTGAATAATTTAAGTGTGATATACAGTGGGATTCTAGAAAAAGACAAGGTCTCTCCCCAAAGATCGTAAAAATACTTGCATATATATTTATTTATTTATTTATTATAACAGGCTGTGATAACATAGAATTACCAATGTATTAGAAATTAAGATCTTGTTTTAAAAATTGTGGAAAATGATTGTTAGTAGGTGATTGTGTGGAGAACCTCCCACCTGATAACTTGATAAACACAATTTTCTAGTCAAACGCCTGTGATATTTACGTACCTAAAGAATACTAATTGTGAAGTAATTGTTACTGTTTAAAAAAAATGCATTTATATGTAAGAGGCTATTAAGAAGAGGTTTTTATTTATTTATTATATATGTACATAGTTTGTATATATACATATCGTGAAATGTGTAATGTGTTTAAGTTATGACTACTTTGTATCTGTAAGTACACTTATTGTAATTTACAGTAATTTATAACTATTTAAATGATTATGTCCCTATGTCTCTGTAGATCCCCTGAAGAAGGCAATAAAACTTGTCGAAAGCTTGGGCGTTGATATAAAAACAACAACAACATCAAACAACATGTTTGAAGACCACAACCCGAATCCCAATCAACATACTATTAAAGGCTGGTTGATCGCATAACAAGTATTACAGATCATTTACTCGAGTGTCTTTCAGGTCATGTATATTTTCTATGGTTTGTCAGTTCAGGGTTATAAAAAGGTTAAAGTTATCAGAAATGATATTTCAAAGTAAACGGGCTAATTGATCTGGAACTTGTCCCATAATCTTCTATGGGTTTTCAGGTCAGGACTGTAAGCAGGGAGAGACATGGAAGAGAGCACCTTTGACAAACCAAAACCGCAAGGTCAGGCGAATTAAAATGATTGGTAATATACAAACTACACACTAACTGTTATTTATGTTTTGAATTTGGATTTTGGATTCAAATTCACAAATGTAAGCACATACAAACAAACATATACCAAGTGAAGCCTATTCGGCATTTGCTATTTACAGTAAATTGCCATCAGACTCGAGAGTCACCCTCCCCGGGGTTGGCAGTCTGAGGACAGACCTCAGACTTATCGACAGACAGAGAGGTTGGGCTCGGGGGGGGGGGGGGGTTGCTGTTAACAACTAGGTCAATTGAGCACCCAACGCATCAGTTCCAAACCCATTCGTACTCATGTTCATTCTTAAATACCATTCACTCCTATTTACCATACATTCAATTCGGGGAGTAGTCAATATTCCTCCAACGACCCTCTCACATCACACATTCATGCTAATAAATACATTCACTCTCAACAATACATACACAACTATTATTATTATACACAATAGAACAACCATGTTTCTTCCAAGAATTGGAACAGGGACCCAAATACTACTTTGCTCAAGCCCAATTCTCAAGTTGGGTGGCAATCCTGCGTGCTGTCTGTATGGAGCATTAATGATGTTTCAAGACATGATTCATGATCGTTTTCCAAAAAGTGATCATTCCCTTGAGTATATTTGAGGTCATATATATTTCCTATGGGTTTTCAGTTCAGGGTTATAAGCAGGGAGAGGCAGACTTAAATTATTGTAAATGACCATCCACAACCTTAAGGTTATTTATGTTTCAAGGGAAATACGGCTATCTTGAATTTGAACAATGATACTTTTGCCTAATATTCTACTGGCTTTTAGGGCAGGGTATAAGCAGGGAGAGGCACTGAAGGTAGCACTTCTGACAAACCCAAAACTTTCTGGACAGGAAAATTAAAAGATAGGACATGACAACCTTAACATTATGTATTATCATGTGTTTCGGTCTGTGAGTCGATCAACTCATGTTGAACCAGCACAGGGTCACTTACTGGGTCTGTCACCACTCACAGTTTTTTTTAGTTATTCCAGCATTATGCCATCTTCAATGCCAAAACACATTTGAATAGCTAAAAAAAACCGTACGTGACCTTGTGCCAGTTCAACATGATTATGTAAAATGGCAAATTCCTGAATCTGACCAAGATCTTTCACTTAGTGATCATTCACTCGAGTACTTTCAAGCATTCTGGTGAATTCAGGTTCTCAGATTTTCAGGTTGGAATATAAGAGACAATGAAGATAGCACGTCTGATAGACCAAAACAGTGAGGACAGGCAGACTAAAATATTGGAAAGGTCCAAACTTCCATCTTAAAGTTATTTATGTATCATGACAAACGTGACTGTATGATCCTGAATTTGTTCCATGATGGTTTTTGGATTTTTAGATCAGGTTTATAAGCAGGGAAGGGTATGCCCGACGGACAACCCTAGGGTAATGTATGTTCATCCTCTGGAATACATTTTGTGCTACATCTTCTCTTGTGGATTTTTAGGTCAGGGTTATAAGTAGGGAGAGGCAGAGATACGACTGATAATTAATTAAAAATACCTGAATAATGAGTGGGCGATCCCTTTCGGAAGAGAAAAGTGCCTCTTTCCTGTATTTGGGGTCTTTTGTAAAGATGAGGCTGTGAAACATGGGAGAGTAACATAGCTGAGCACCGTGGGCGCGGGATAAGAGCCTCCATGGCAATTCGCTGGCGTCCACCATCGGAGCGACAATATGTCTCGGACATCCAAGCCTCTCCCATAGTTCAAAACCACCTTCACTCATCTCAAATATCTGAAACAAAAATAGTCCAGTTAGAGTGCTTTTTGCTATAACGGTTGTTGAAATCAGAAAGTAATGTGAAGATTGCCAACCTATGCAAAATTACTAACAAAAATTAATATTATAAGTTCTGGTACAATACAAGAAACATTCGTATCAAGCTGAAAAAGAAGGGATGCTATCAAGGTCGAACCAAAAAATTAACTACCTGATAAATTAATCTGACCCAATAAACCATGGGTCATATAAGTCATAAAAAACCAATTAACATCATTTGTATAAGTTCCACTTGTTAGCCAAGCCTGAAGAAATGCAGGTTATACATTTAAAAACAAAAGTTTCTCCAGGGAAATTAATACATGCAATTAAAAGTGAGTAACAAATGGCCATGAAACAAGACGGTTCGACCTGTAATAAATCCAACACTTTGGAGTAGGCCTTTTCCTGATATAATTGCTCACAGGGTAATTTTCCATTGGAAATAAATAGCCTGTTATTTGCCACGTGCCTTAAGTGTCATTGAACTTCAAACATTGCTTTAGGCGGCAACAAAAATGGCAAACTTTGCCTTCTATAATTTGAAAAAAATCAGTTTTATTTAACAGGAAATATCCCAATTATAAACAACTATTTTAACAATAATAATTAAAACTAATAATTATTATATATTAAACTAAAAATAATAATTAAACCTGGACATTAGATCAAACTTGATTCGCAGCTTACTAATCTAGGTGACTTATTAAACTGTGCGTAACTTTCATGTTCTATAAATTTCCTTATTGTAATAATATTTCAATTACCAATTTTTTAAAATTAATAGCTTAAATTAAATTAAATTAAATTTTAAGCCCAGAATTTTTTTACTGTATACACACTCTCGCTCATTCTTAAATTAATTCTTTTTACTGCATTTAATTAATTTAATTTTCTTTCTACTTTACTCTGCTAGGGGATATTCTTCCATAACCCTTTACACATATTAAATCTACGTATAGATAAATAATTAGTCTAATAAAGGGTCAACGGTGGAATATTAGGTACCCCTCTTGAACAATGCATTCACGCTTACAAATCCATTCTTATGGAACAATAACAAAAAATACATTTATCACCTCACTCCTTCCAAAATTGAAATATAGGACCCAAAGATTGGTGCCATACTCGAGCACAATTTTCCAACTCACTCTCTATAGCCAAGGAGCGAAGGATTTTAAACCCTTCAATTAAGTGTCCTAGTGTTAAACATGTATGGCTGATTCCAAATCGAGATAAGATGATCCTCCTGCGATTTAGGTGCTCTGGGAGCGCAAGAACTTTTCAGATGACCCACTCTACTGACACTGCCGAAAAGCTTGTCTTATTTGTAGTTTGGTCTTTTCCTATCATTTGGCCTGCTACAATTGCTGATTTGGTCTATGTGTTATTTTGGCAGTTGTATCCCCTTTATTATTCAGTTTATTAGAATTAGAAATAATATAGTTTACTGGGATTTGTTATGTACAATCAAATATTTAGACGAAAAGTTCAATTTGATTGTAAAAATTTGAACTAGTTTGAAAAAAGGGAAATTTGGTTTGGGGGGAACTCAATCTGACTTGGACAAGCTTAATTTGATTTGAAAAACGGTTGTTTGATTTCGAAAAAGCCCAATGTGGTTTGGAAAAGTTTAATTTATTTCAGAAAAAGCTCAGTTTGGTTATCAAAAGGTTAAATTGAGTTGGTTGGTTGATTTGCAAAAAAGTTCAATCTGGCTGGGAAAAGTTCAATTTTATTCAATTCACTAGTTTTCGCGGTCCGCTTGACCAATTAATATCTTTCAATTATCTCAACTAAAACCCTTAATTAATTGAAAGTTCAATTTTATTTGGGAAAGTTCTATTTGATTGGAAAAAAAATTCAGTTTTGGTTGGAAAAAGATCAGCATGATTTGAAAAATAGTCGTTTGATTTTAAAAAGCTCAATATGGTTAAGAAAAAGTTCAATTTGAGTTGGAAAAAGTTCAATTTTATTTAGAAAAGTTCAATTTTATTTGCGAAAGTTCGATTTGATTAGGAAAAAACTCAGTTTGGTTTGGAAAAGCTCAATATGATTGGAAAAATAGTTGATTGATTCGAAAAAGCTCGATATGGTTCAGAAAAAGTTCTATTTTATTTCGAAAAGTTCAATTTAATTAGGAAAAACTCTGATTCGGAAAAGTTTAGTTTGGTTCGTAAACAGTAAAATTTGGGTTGGACAAAAGTTCAGTTTGATTTGGAAAAAGTTCAATTTGATTCGTAGAATCCTCAGTTTCGATTAGAGAAAGTTCAGTTTGATTTAGAAAAAGCTCTGTTTGGTTCGTAAACAGTAAAATTTGGGTTGAACAAAAGTTCAGTTTGATTTGGAAAAAGTTCAATTTGATTCGTAGAAAGCTCAGTTTCGATTAGAAAAAGTTCGATTTGATTTAGAAAAAGCTCAGTTTGGTTCGTAAACAGTAAAATTTGGGTTGGACAAAAGTTCAGTTTGATTTGGAAAAAGTTCAATTTGATTCGTAGAAAGCTCAGTTTCGATTGGAAAAAGTTCAATTTGATTCGTAGAAACCTCAGTTTCGATTAGAAAAAGTTCAATTTGATTTAGAAAACGCTCTGTTTGGTTTGAAAAAATTTCAATTTATTTAGTAATAAATACAATTTGGTTAGCAAAACAGGTTTGTAACAAATTCAATTTGATTTGGAAATTGCTCAATTTGGGAAAATTTCAAACTGGGTGAAAAATATCAGTTTGGTGTTTAAAAAGTTCGATTTGGTTTCAATCAATTTCAAGAGAGGCAGACGAGAATGATAGGAAATGTCAAAAATCAGGCCCTCACCCTGCAGACCTCAAGAAGAAAGGGCAAACTATCTTATGGTTCTCACATTCTACAATATTAGGCTGTTCGGAAAAATATTTTTTAACGTCAAATAATTTTTTTAAAAGTAAAATAACAAATATTAGATATTTAAATTAAAATGGTGTCTTCACTAGGGAAGTTTTGATGAAGTTGAAGGAACTTCATTCTGAACTTTATCCGCCCATTTTGAAAAAACTCAAGAGATTTGTTTGTGTAATTTATTTGATTACAGGTTGTATGAAAATGTATAACAGGAAGGCTTACTCAGTCAAGGGTTTCTTTTAGGTAAAAACACATCGAGATCGTCTTTAGGCAAGATAATCTTCAAAAAGGGTGTTCGGACGGGGCGGAAAAGCTTCCTTTTACGCGTCTAGTCAAGGGCAGAAACGAGGGTTGGCGTGAGTAAAGGGGAAGAATAGAAAATTCCAATTTTCCCGTTTATCAGATTGGTTCGAGGCAAAGGTCAAATCAACTTCTACATTTACATATCAACAACCCAACAAGAGTTACTGGGGCAACAAGCAGACATAAACCGTGTTTCCCCGTGACCGCAACTCTATGAAATTATTTCTTATGAAATGGCCGTCGCATCATTTCGGTGAACATAACAAGCGGCTTGTATTGCATTCGCTCTCGAGAAAAGGTCTCGGTTTGACGCACCCGTGGTGGGCATAAAGAGCAGTCTCACAGAAATGGGAAAGCTCGGTTGAATTTGTTCCCCCATTTTCGACATTCCACTTTCCATGGGATGTAAGTTTAAAAAGGGAAATTAAAATACTGAAAAAAGAAGCCTTTTTTTGCAAAGTAAACGAGGGAAAACAACTTGACGATGTACACAGGGCGAATAACTGTGGGCACGGTCGCGCGTGGGTGCGTGAATCAAAGCAACATTATTACAAATTTATATTACTACTGTTTAAAGATATGAACATAAAGGTTAGTAATATGTCGATAACAAGATTTAATTCCCATATAATTTTCTAATTACTTTAATTATTACGACTATCAATCTGACCTTGTAAACAGTGATGAAACAGCAGCTATTTAATGTATAATTTATTACTTATTTTATATTTACATTATTGAAGTAGAATTAAACTTTTAATCACGTTTGGAAATATTACGATAGGTTGATTTGGAAAAAGGGGAAAAATACAATTTGCATAAAGTTCAATCTGGATTGTCAAATATTATATTTCAGTTGCAAAATATAATTTTGGTTAGGAAGAAACTCAATATTTGATTAGGAAAAGTTCAATCGGGTTTGAAAAAAAGGCCAATTTAATTTGAAAAATGTGTTTCTTAGTGACCTTCATAATTTGGTGAAGTCGTGAGGAGTGGTCAAGAATGAGGTAGTTAAAAAAAGCACCCTTTCTTTATTATAGCATAAAATGCACCCTCTGAAGATGACCCGAATAAAGGTCGAAACGCCGGCAAAAAATGAAAAAGGTATTTTTCCAAACTACTTCATTCTTGACCGCTCATGATTTCAATAAATTTGAAAAATGTCCATTTGGCTAGGAAAAAAGTTCAGTTTGATTTGAAAAAACAAAACAAAAACATATTTACATTTGATTTCGAAAAAGTTCAATAGGTTTGAAAAAAATTACGTTCGAATAGGAAAAAGTACATTTTAATTGAGAAAAATTCAATTTTGGAAACACCTTAATCTGATTTGGAAACAGCTCCATTTGATTTGAAAAAAAATTCATTTAGAAAAAGTTCAATGGGTTTGAAAAAAGTTCCGTTTGGATAGGAAAAAGTACAAATTAATTGAGGAAAAATTCAATTTTGGAAACAACTCAATCTGATTTGAAAAAAGCTCTTTTTGATTTGAAAAAAAGTACAATTTGATTTAGAAAAAGCTCAAGATGTTTCGGTTAAGGTTCAGTCTGGTTAAAAAATCGAGATAAAAAAATCGAGATCACGATAGCTCAAGTGGTAGAGCAGCGGCGTATCAGCCGAAGTTCGTGGGTTCGAATCCGGCTCGTGACACTGACTTTTTTATCTCAACTAAAAACCTTAATTAATTGCTAGTTAAAAAAAGTTCACTTTGGTTAGGAAAAAGTTAAATTTGATTAGGAAAAAATTAAATTTGATTTAAAAAAGTTTCACTTGATTTGGAAAAAGTTCAGTTCAGTTA